GGGGGGGGGGGGGGGGGGAACAAAGGGAGCCACAGGCCATGGGGAATACTGCACCCCTACTTCCCTTTCTGGCATGTCCCCAAGGGCCCCCTCCTTCAAAGAATGAAGAGGCCTCACTCGTCAATCACTGGCATCCCCCAAGCCAGCCCTATCTTGCCAGCATCATCCAAGTTACTCCCTCATCCTTCCCTCAATGCCAACTGCCATTAAGAAATTTCAAATTTGGCCTCAGTTCCAAAGTATCCAATCGCCACTTACCTGTTAGGCCTTGCCACCAGGCGATTGGGCACAGGGACCAGAGGGAGGTAGGGAAGAGATTCAGGATCCCTTCCTTTCTTTCTTCCCTTTCTCCTCCCATTTCCACAAATAATAAAGGCCTGCACCATTTGCCCTCCCCTCATGACCTCAGGAGACCCCCAATGAAGCTTCCTCCTCCTCCTCCCCTCACGATCCTCAGGAGAGCCCCGATGAAGCTTCTTCCTTCTCCTCAGCTGACCAGTGGAACAGCCTGCCACTTTGTTGGGGGGAGGTGGAACAAAGAGAGCCACAGACCATAAGAAATGCTTCCTTCAAGGGAGGAAGAGGGCTCACTCGTCAACCATTGGCACCCGCCCCCAGCCAGCCCTACCTTGCCAGCATCATCCAAGTTACTCCCTCATTCTTCCCTCAATGCCAACTTCCATTAAGGGATTTCAAATTTGGCCTCGGTTCCAAAGCAGCCAATCACCTCTTACCAGTCAGGCCTTGCCACCAGCCGACTGGGCACAGTGGACAGAGGAAGGCGGGACCTGGGCTGACCATGGCAGTGCAGGAGCATAGCAGTGCTGAAGCAGCCACAAATTCCCCAAATTTCAATCCCAAAGGAGTCATAGGTCCCAGATTTTGGATGCATTCTGTAAATTAGCCCATCTGAGTACCCTATCAAAAATTGTTGCCCTATGACACACTGTTTTGCCCAGTTAAGGTTACAGACATAAGAGTCTTAGTACTATATAGATTACAGGTAGGTCTCTCTCAATTCGTGCAGTTACTGAATCCCATGAAATGGTTGCATTATTTGAATTTGCACTATTCAAAGTGATATTTCTATGGAAATACAGTAATTGGTTCTAGCTCGACAGAAATAGGCAATGAAAAATTGTAAGCATCATTTTATAAATATTATGAAATATACAGTAAAAGATAAAAATAATATACTTATAATTTAAATTACGGAGAACCAAGTTACAGAGTAGTTACAGAAAGCAAAATATTAAGCAACAACAAAAAATATAACATAGATTCAGGTATTCCAACATCTTGTCCTGTTTCAGCATTGCTATGACCACGTTCGTGTCATTCAATTACATCAAATGTTTGCCCTAACATAATAGTGACCCTCTTTTTTAAACTTGGACTGTTTTCGTCTGACAGAATCTTCCTTTTTTTCATTTTGCACACATGAAGATTAACAGCGTCTAAAAACCCAATTGCAATTGCTCATGTGCTAGTCTCAATTGTACATGCGTTACCTTTGCATTAATTGAATTTTGGGTACCATTAAATGTGGCCTAGTATCAATTTACAATTTGCACTAAATTGAATATCACATTATTTGAACTTGCACTAATTGCGTCTTACTGTATCAAAGATCACACATTCTACTTCTCCATTTTTCTATCTCTGTGTTTTTGTCTAAATATTTATATTTTTAAAGTCCCTTCCCCCCCTTGTTATAGACCATTCTCTTCCTTTCTAAAGTGAACCTGAGAAGCTGCTTTTCAAGACATGTTACTAATTTCCTTAGCTAAAGAGACAAAAATCTTCAGATATATGATTAACTTCTTTATAATTATCAAATTACCTATGATTCCCAGTATATCTTGATCCCTGGGGTCAAGCTGATGCTATTCTTCACCTTAACACTCAAAGCTGAGTCTGAAGGTACTGAATGCTTTGTCAGTTTCACCACTGATGAAGAAGACATTTTGTCTTCAGCCAAGCGGGTCAGAACTTTGTATTGGAGCATGTTCAGACTATAGATATAGGATTATGTCTTTTATAAAACTCTGTTCCACCCTGCTTGTTGGTGTTCTTCCATAACCAATTTCTATTTGCTTTCATAAACCAATTTCTGCCAGATGTTCATAAAAGGCAAATAAATCAGACAAGATTCTATCACAGCGTTGAGTGATATCAGACTGTGCTAGGCAAAGACAT